CATGACCATGGAGATGCCTTTGGACAGCGCTGGCTCTTCGGCTTTGAAACAGAGATGAGCACTGCCCCCTAGAGTCGGAAATGACTAGTGCATATCTTTATATTGTTACTGTAAATTAGGCTACTACATCTTTCTGCTGCCCATTTTTTCTTTATGATAAGCTCTTCCTTTTTCCCCCTGCATTGGTACTAACCTTCTTTCCTTCTCTTTCTTTCAACTCCTGGCCTGCCCTTCAGCAATGCAAATAAAAAGTGCTGTACAATATAGGTAGTCCTTCTTTACCTTCTTTACAATTGAGACTGGCAACTTGGATGTTAAGTGAAGCAGTTGCTAAGTGAAATAGCGATTACACTTATGATCTGTAACTTTATTTTGCTTTACAGACCGATGAAGTCATTAATGTTAGGATTGGTTACAAAGTTATTTTTTTCACCACTGTTATGAGTTTGAACAGTCATTGTTTGAGGCATTCGCTAAACAAAGATTACCTGTATACTATTTGAAGATATTTGGGACTGAAGTTTCCTTTCAGTGCAAATACCAGATGCTAGGCTATAAATCTGACTCAGAACTGTATCTGGAGGAAAGAAGTAAAGCTTATTTCTTTCTATATACAGTATATACAATATCAAATTTTGCTGTATCCTACAATCCACTTTGAGAAGGCCATTTTCTGGCCCAGTATTTTTAAGGGTCTTCTTACATACAGGTGGTTCTTTGCTTAACAATCATTTGTTTAGCACATATTCAAAGTGCTGGCAGCGTTGAAAAAAGTTATTTATGACCAATCTTCACACTTATGACTGTTGCAGCATCCCCATTTCATATGATCAAAATTCAAACCCTTGGCAACTGACTCATATTTATGACGGTTGCAGTGTCCAGAGGTCATATGATCACTTTTTGTGACTTTCCGACAAGCAAAGTCAATGGGAAAGACCCATTGCTTTAGGCGGTCTCGTTGGGTTGAGTTTTCTTTCCAAGAAACCATTTCTTCTGCCAATTTGTTTGCATCTCTGGTTGTCTTTTAACACTGGTAGCAGTATCAAAAAAAGAATTAGGGAACTGACACAGAGGAAAAAAATCTTTGGTCCTAAATAGAAATAACACCTACAGGTATGTTTGTCTGTTCATTCTTAACTATTGTCAAGCAATATCTGAATTAACATAGCTGAGGAGTGCAGATAGAAGATAGAAGTTAGAATGTAAAACCATGCTTAAGAAAAACAAAGATAACTAGGTGTTATTTCTGTAAAGAACCAAAGCAGTTCTACATTTCATTTTATATATAAAGCAGTAAATGTCTTTTTACAAAAAGACAATGCTAGTTTCCTTCATGAAATAAAGCACAGTTTCTTTTGTATTTGAGGTATTAATCAACATTAAATAAGTAAAGTATTAAAAAAGAAGTAAGCTTTTGTGTTTATGGTTGACCTTATTACTAAATATAATTTCTAGCTGCTAGATCTGGTTCTTCTTTTTGTTATTTAAAATGATAAACAATTAATATTCAATTCAAGATATAGTTACCAGGATGTCAAATCTGTATCACTGTGTATAAATGTTTGTTACAGAGAGCTGCCCTTTAAGAAAGGAGACACTATCTATATCCTCAGGAAAGTGGATCAAAACTGGTATGAGGGCGAACATTACGGAAGAGTTGGGATTTTTCCTATTTCTTACGTTGAGGTTTGTCTTAACACCAGCAATTTGATACCTATGAGTTTTACAAATAGATACCCAGTTTGGAAAGGTTGATTAAAATAACCACCATTCTCTCTTCAGAAATTTATTCCCCCAGAAAAAGCACAGCCAGCAAGACCACCACCCCCAGCACATGTGGCCGAGATTGGAGAAGCTATTGCAAAATATAATTTCAATGCAGATACAAATGTGGAACTTTCATTGAGAAAGGTACTTGCTAAAATTGGGTGTTACACAAAGTTTGACAAAGATTCCCTGTAAAAGGGCTTATTCATTCAAGTATGTATTTCCCAGGGTGACTGTGAAGGGACATGGTGACTTAATGGTTAAGACGCTAAGCTTGTCGATCAGATAGGTTGGCAGTTCGGTGGTTCGAATCCCTAGTGCCA